TTTCAAATAAATATTTTTATTTCTCCTAACACTATCCATGGCACATCAGAAAGAATTTTCATGTGAACAATGTTATAAAGGATATAGAGTCTATTGTATTATTATCATTATAGTTTAGCCACACTGTGAAACTTTTTATTGGCTACTTGGGAACTTAAATGGAATTTATAACAATAATAAAGGAAAACAAATTCTGAACTAATATCTTAAGAACCCAAAAGATTTTTGAATTAGCAATACTATCAAAATTTCACCTCCTTTAAAAGTTATACAGTCACGTGCCACACAATGACATTTCCACCAACAAAGGACAACATATATGATAGTGGTCCCATAAGATCATAATGGAGCTGAAAACTCTTATCTGCCTAGTGATGTCCTGATTATCCTGCCCTTGTACAGACCTAGATTAATATGTATGTTTGTCTTAGTTTTTAACAAAAAAGCTTAAAAATCAACTCAAAAATAGAATAAGAATATAAAGAAAATATTTTTGTACAGCTGTACAACGGGTTTGTGTTTTAAGCTAAGTGCTATTACAAAACAGTCAAAAAGTTAAAAAAATGTAACGTTAGTTAACAGTAAGGTTTGTTATTGAAATTTTAAAAAATAAATTTAGTGTAACCTATGTGTACAGTGTTTCTGAAGTCTACAGTAGTGTGCAGTAATGCGCCAGGCCTTCACATTCACTCATCACTTGCTGACTCACCCGGAGCAACTTCAGTCTTGCAAGCTCCATTCATGGTTAAGTGCCCAGTACAAGTGAACCATTTTTTATCTTTTGTCCCATATTTTTACTGTACCTTTTCTACGTTTAGATATAGTACTCAATACTGCAACAGGCTGTACAGAGTTGTAAGCCTAGGAGCAATGGCCTATGTCCCATATAGCTTAGATGTGTAGTAGGTTATACCACCTAAGTTTGCATAAGTACACTATGACATTTGCACAGTCACAAAAATCGCCTGACGAATTTCTCTGAATGTATCCCCGTTGTTAAGCGACACATGACTATATATATAAAAATCTGCTTTCTAATCACCTCCAGTACAATGGTAAATAATGGAATATCCTTGGATTATTCTTGACTTTCACTGAAATGTTTTCTCATTTGCATCATGGTAGCTTTTGCACTGAAACAGACATACTTACGATGTTAAAGAAATACCTAATTCCTGTCTTTTCAGCATCTCTGAAGATGATATAATTTCTCTTAATCTGTTGATACAGCAAATTATAAGCGAGACTGTCCTGTCTTTTAAAGTAGTATGTGTATATGCCATCTTAGTCACATTTTCATACGCTTACTTCATAAATAGAAGTTGGAAGATTTCAAGTGGAACTTTTTGGAATAATCCAATGGTAAATTTCTTCTGGAAGGAGTGTACACCAATGTTAACCACTGTATTGCTAAATCTCTATCATATAGCACTTTCAATTTTCAAATCACTTTCAAATACATTAGATTACTTGATTTTTCACAGCATTACTAACTAGAAAGCAGGAATTATCCCCATTTTGTAAATAAGAAAACAAAGGCAAAAAGAGACTTAATGGCCCATCCATGGTCATAAATATGACAGGGGGCAGGGCAGTTATTTCTAAGCTTTTCCCATTAAAGCACGTTGTCTTTTTAGTGCTCAAGATAAAATGGTTCAGTATATCATAGACATGAATAAACAATTACATTATTCAAGATTCATATCACATTTGAATTACAGATATGGCTAATATGGTAGGAACTTATAAAATAAAACTGTGGACTTTACTAATAGTAAGGTGAAGCCCCTAAAGGGTTATCGTGCAGGGATGTAATCAGATTTGATACCTAGAATGAGTATTCTGGCTGCAATGTGGACAGTGGATGGGGGAATTATCAGGAAAGTGGTGTCACATAAACCAAGGAAGTATGAAATGGGCAACAGCAACAAATGCTACTGGGAGATAAAGTAGGAAGGATTGAAAACTGTCTATTAGATTTAATGACGAGTCACTAGGAGACCTGGTAGTTGTGGCGCAGTAGTGCAAATAAGCGGCCGCCAGTCTGCAGAGGATGAGAGAGAGCAGGAGGGAACACGTTGGAGAGAACAATATAGATAACCCTCTAAACAAGTTTCATTATAAAGAATGGGAACAAGCAAACGTGGGGTACAAGGAAGTTTTCTTTTAAAGATGGGAGTGATCTGAGCACGAAAGGAAGACATACATTGAGTGGGAGAGGCTAAATATACAGTACAGGGAATATCTGAACAAAATACCTGGAGTCAGCAGGAGGAAAGGGAACCCATAGTAGTGATGGAGTAACCTTTGGCAGGACAATCTCCTCTTCCATTTCAAGAGGTGGAAAGGATGAGCGTAGACGGAGGTCAGACCAACCAAAGGGGGCTGCTCCCTGATAACTTTGCTGTCCAACATGGTAGCCACTAGCCACATGCCAGCCACCCCAAACCGAGAAGTGCTCTAAGCATAAAAAACCCACTGAATTTTGAAGACTCAGTACAGGGGAAAATGTAAACTAATCTCATCAGTATTTTTCATGTTGAAATGATTTTAGATATACTGGGTAAATACATATTAAAATTAATTTCACTTGCTTCTTTTTGCCTTTTTAAATGTAGCTACTAGAAAATTTAAAATTACATATAAAAGTTTGCATTATATATTTATAGGAGAGTACTACTCAATAATCTTTTCATTGCTGCAGCAAAGGTTAATAAGTAGTTTGACATGTTTAATAAAGTAAATCAAGAACATATAGAGACAGTCCTAATACTCAATAAGTTTTAATGTAAGATTGGTCCTGGATAATCCTCTATGGAGATCTACTATATTTAAACAAGTTCACCTTTTTTGTAAAATTGATATGAATTGATACTTGTTTAATACAAGGAGCCCATTATAACATTTTCAAAAATGGAAAAGTGAAAAAGTTAGACATTTTCCATATAAGTAATTATGGATTACTTACTACCCCTTATGTAACCCAAATTTCTAACCGAAGGATTGGAATCCTATTAAGTGCCATTAGGAAGGCTGTGTCTGAGGAATTAGATATCTTCATTTTTCTTGACAATCAGGGACAGACATAAAGACTGCTCTTGAGGCTATCACAAGCAGACTGTAGCCACCAAATGGATGGACCATCATGATTTTTCACCTCAGGAATGTGCTTCTTTTCCATACAAAGATGGCTGTTATTACTGAAACTCAGTATAACGTGGACCTGGGTTATTTTTTTTCCAGGAATGGACTTTTCGTTTGTCTAGTTCTCACAAGAGCCTCCCTCTTTGTACATGGCTACCCAATGAAAATGTCTTCATGATTAAGGTTTGAGACCGACATTCCTTAAAAGGCAATGTGACCTAGTAGAGTTATAAGAAATCAAACATACTACTGAGGAAAAAAAACACAAAAGTGTAAATTTTGACAGCATAAAAGTAGCCAACAACTACCTCCCCTCTAAATCCCCAAGGGAAAAAAAAACTTGGACTCATTTTAGATGACAAAGTAGGTCAATGGTGCCCAATAATGTTCTATTTCTAAAATTCACATCGCCACTGCACGCGGTGATAATGAACACCAATGGGAAATTGGAACGTCCGAGTGTCTACAAACTATGTGAGCAGATGGTTTTCCCATCTGTGGCTTTCCATTCCTCCGCAGCAGTCAAGGATGTTATAAATTCACTTCAGTAGCATCTCTGGCCCACACCTGCTAACAAAAGTATGCAGTCCCAAAGCAGTCATCTAGAAACCAAGAGTTTCCCAAAAAGGCTGATATTTGTTAAAGTAATGAGTTAACTGATAGAATCACACACTCTCCCAGAACCTACTCTGAATTCACTCACCGGAAACTAAACAGAGACTAAAATCTTTTTCCCTCATTTATTCTTTCTACAGTAACACATCAAATATTTGTATTTTGTTTACTCTTTTTAAACATCTACTAACTCATCAATCCTCAGAACAACCTATGGGAGTACTATTATCAACTTCTAAAATAATGAACTCTGTTGAAAAAACCACTCTGGCAAAGAGTGGTTAAGTAACTTACTTCGGGTCACACAGCTAGTAAATGGGGGGACTGGAGGGCTGAGATTCAACCCTGAGCGGCCAGGATCCAGAGCTGCGGTTAACGACTGTTAGAGCATCTTCGCTGCGACCAAGGCGAGCCAGGGAAGGACGGGACCCTCAACCTCGCCCACTATAGATAGTCTCTAAAACATAATTCCTTAGAGTCCAGGTTTCATTTCGTTTTTAAGGAGTTCAACCACATCAGTGCTCTTGCGCCGGCAGGCCAGCCCTTGGAAGGTACTGTTTCCTTTCTAAGGCAACTACGGGTTCTTATTTCAGGAGTAGGTTCCAGTATTTTAGTTTTTAAAAGCAGGAACTGCATAAAACAGGTGGCAAAAATAGGCTGCAGTGCGAGGACCCCGGAACCTTCGGTCCCCGAGCACTCTAGTTTGAGAAAGAGGCCCAGAACAAGGTCCCCTCTGGCTCGCCCGGGACACCCGACCTCCCCCAGGGACCCAGTGGAGCGGGGCTTCGCCGCTGTCCCCGCCCGGCTCCTCGGACGCGGCGCCCTGGGCTCGAGCCCACGAAGCTCCGGCCCCAGCGTCGCGCACACTCCCCGCAAGGGCGACAGGGCCCCCCCAGTGCGCCCTCCCCCCGCCCCAAGCCCGCGTGGGGCACCGCACCCCCGACCTGGGCTCCCCAGCCGCCCCCCGAGACGCCAAACAGCGTCCCGCGTGGCCGCGCCGGCGACTCCCGCGCACCGCGGGCCAGGTCCGCTCGCGACTGCCTCCCGCCGAGGGAGGCTTCAGGGCTGAGGGCCTTCCAGACCGCCGCCCGCCCCCGCCGCAAGCCCGCGCCTACCGAGCCCCAGGCGAGCCATGCCGAGCGCCGGGCCCCGTGCAGTCGCCGCCACCGCCGCCGTCTCAGCTCTGCCGCGCGCCGCGCCCCCGCACCCACGTCCCGCCCTCGGTCTGTCCAGGAGGCGACGGACCGGCCGCGCGGAGGCGGGCCGGAAGGCGCTCGCCAAGCCGTGGCCGCGGCTCATTGGTCCCAGAGCGCTTCGCTCACTCGCATAGCCAATGGGAGGCGGCCGGGTAGAGGTTACCGGTTTGGTTTTTTTTCACGGGGGCGGAGGCGAGGGGCGGAAGGAGGGGTTCGCTGGGGGCGGGGGCTGCCAGGCCCTCCGCTTCCGTCCCCTCCGGTCCCCTGGGCCTTTCCTGGGCTCTCGTTACTTCTTCCTGGCTTGGCGAAGGCCAGTACTGGAATGTCTTGTCTCAGTTTCTTAGTCTCCCCGCATCCACCTTTCTTCTGACTTGCCGTCCCAGCCCTCACTCATCCACTGCCCCTCCCATCCTCCCATCCCGCCGGAGAGTAACTCCCTTTGGGCCTTGAGTGCATCTACGACCTTACTAGTCGTTCCTCTTGTGTCCAGACGAGTATTTCGTCAAAACACATTCGCTAAGCACATGCTATACGAACATAATTCGACAAGTTGAATTACTTGTAAAGTTCCTGCGTCCAGGGCGCATGACTGTGCAAAGTCTTTCCCATGTATCATCTCTTTCTCTAGAACCCAAGGGGCTTGAGTTGCAGGGCTCCTTACTTAAAGCGCTGCCACTACATCCTGGGGGAGAGAGGGCTGGCACTCCGTTTACGTGGACATGTGTTTTGGAAAATTTGTAAAAGTAAACTCTTTTAGGCATAACAAGTTGAGAACACTGTATCTTGCCGCTCTGATTCCCTCTCCTGTGTTTGGAGTGGACGCAGGTTTTTTTTTTTGTATTAGTAATTTCTCTGTACTGTAGTGTTGAATGTGTAAGACAGCTCTGACTCTGGTTTAAGCATTCATGGACACGGGCCAGGAGTGGTGGGGCTGGCTGGTGAGCTTCCTGGAGAAAATGGCACTGCAGCTGTGGTTGGAAGATTTGTCAGGCAAACCAGAGTCAAAGGTACACTCAATCCTCTGAAATCACAGGGGCCTATCCGATAAACCACATACCAGCTCTGATTTACTTCAGGGAGGCTGCTTGTCCTGGGATGGGAATTCTCAGCTCTGGTGCCCCAGGCTCCTCCGTATGTGCGAGTGCCTGGGAAGCTCACCCAGTGATCTGGGTGGGCTGTTTGTGGGTCAGAGCAAATGGCTGTGACGGTGAAGAGACAGTTCAGCTTGAGGTGCAATGGTGAGTTTGTTTTTCAGACCCCTTCCCTGCACTTTACATATTTTCCCCCGTAAGTATTCTACTATTGCTGATGGAATTACAGTGAGGTCCTTTTCCTCTAGCCTAGAAAGGGAGGTCCTTTCCCTGCCAGAACGAAGAGATTTAGTTCCTCTTGCTCACAGAGGGCCCTCTCATTTCTTTTCATGCCAAGTTAGCCAAGTTAGTGTGTTACTTCATGTTAAACAGTATTCATCTGAAATACTTCCATTCACTGAAAGAAAAGAGATAATGATGCATCCTCTGACAAGTATTCTTTGAGTCATATATTCAACTTTGCCTATATACCTATAGGCAAAGAAACAGGTTCTCATGGTAAGTCAGAAACTTTGTCCCCATGGGCCACGGACATCACAGTTTCCATTATGCATCAATGGATGGAATTTGTCGACCCCAATCCCTCCAGGCCTGCTGTGTCAGGACAGTAATACTGCTCAGAATGGAACCTTCTAATCAGGGCGGCTCACACTTTCAGTGCCTTTTATGACCTGCGTGGTCTCTGCACCAATCTGCTTCAGGACTGAACCTCTTGGAAAAACAGAGACAAGACATAACACCCTGCTAAATATTCTAGGGCACTGGCTGTTCTGCCAGGCTGTGATGTGGATGTGTGGCTCCATAGGTGCACGCCTCCACGAAGCCTATGCACGTACAGGCTTCCAAAAATGCACCAGGATAAGTGTCGTTCATTTTTTTCATTAAAACGAAATGCATAATGTTAAAAGAAAAGCTTTAGTTGAATTAAACTTAATAGAATTTGAGGAAAATAAAATCTGGCAGCCTCCCAAACCAGAAGAGGTTCAGAGAGACTCCCCGGCTGCCACATGGCTGGAGAGGATTTATGGACAGAAAAAGGACAATGGTGTACAGAAAACGGAAGTGAGGTCCAGAAGCAGCCGGATTGGTTACAGCTCAGCATTTGCCTTATTTGACTACAATTTGGACAGTTGACCACCTGTGATTGGCCAAAACTCAATAATTGGTACGCAAGTAAGTTACAGCTGTTTACACATCCAGTTCGGTTACAGTTCACTATGTATGGAGAAACCTTTAGGCAGAACTTAAAAATATGTAAAGAGGCAGACTTAGACTAAATGTAATTGAACAATATTAACGACGTAATTATGGCAGATACTGTCCCAGACACAGTCACTGGCCCCAGGGAGCACAAAGTCGGCAGCAGAGAGGCACGTTATACTGCAGGAGCCTCCTGTTCTGACAAAGAGGAGCCCCTGGTAAAATGGGGCAGGACGAATAACATCTTTTTTTGTCTGTTTCTTCACTGTAGTGAAATACACATACACTTTGCCATTTTACCCATTTTGTTGTTGTTGGGGAGGGGTTTCCAGTAAAAGCTGGAAAATCTGTTACGCAGATTTTAAAAAAACTGTAGCACTCATCCATTTTTAAGTGTACAACTCAGTAGCATTAAATACATTCACAATGTTGTGCAACCATCACCACCATCCATCTCCAGAACTTTCCCCAACCAGAAACTCTATATTCATTAAGCAATAACTCCCCACTCCTCGCTCCACCAGCCCTTGGTCACTTCTATCCAATTTTGGTCTTTATGAATTTGGCTAATCCAGGTACTTCATATAAGTGAAATCATATTCATCCTTTGTGTCTGGTTTGTTTATTACACATAACATAATGTATGTATGTTAACATACATGTTTTCAAGGTTCATCATGTTGTAGCATGTATCAGAATTCCATTCTTTCCCAAGGCTGAATAATATACCACATTTTGTTTATCCACCCATCTGTTGATGGACACGGGTTGTTTCCACCTTTAGGCTGCTGCTGTTAATGCTGCTATGAACATGGGTGTACAAGTATCTGAGTCCCTGCTTTCAATTCCTTGGGTACTATCTAGGAGTGGAATTGCTGGCTCAGATGTAAATCTATGTTTAGTCTCGGGGGGAACCACCAAGCAGGTTTCCACAGCAGCTGCTCCATTTTCTATTCCCACAGCAATGCACGAGCAATATAATTTCTGCACATCCTCGCCAACACTTGTCACTTTCCGTTTTTTTGATCATAGCCATCCTAATGGGTATGAAGTAAAGAACAATCTGTGAGCTGAGCATGGAAGAATGCATAGAACCAGTCAAGCAAAGGATGGGAAAGGAATATTCCTCCAGAAGAGGCAGCAGTACCTGCAAAGGCAGGAAGGCCTGAGAGTTCTGGGCCCCCCGAGTAGAATGGAGAAGTAGGGAGGCCAGGGAAAAGGCTGGGGTGCCAGAGAGAAGCCAGACACGGAGGGCCACGGAGGTTGCCCAGGCAGTCAGACTCTCCCGACAGCAGCGGGGCCCAGGAGAGGAGCAGCAGGGTAGCTTGGAAGAGAGCGCGCGGGGTCTGCAGGAAGCCAGCTTGGACAAGAATTCCCAGCCCCGTCATCCACGGTGTGTCCTTAGCAAGTTACTCAACCTTCAAGCTTCGGCCTCCTCAGCTGTCAGCAGGGATATGACTGGACTTTGTCACAGGATTGCTAGGAGGTTTCAGTGAGGCAATCCATGAAAATCACTTCACACAGCATCTGACCAGGACATGGGCTCCCTGAATGCGAGCCATTGTTATGAAGGGGTGTTAATGGTCATCCTGATAAAATAACAATAGTGCATTCACCTGAGGAAGACTGACTGAGCATGGCAAGGTGTCAGCCGCCACCCAGCTGCCATGGAGGACACAAAGGTAAGCGGAGCCTCTCTGCCCAGTGAGCCACTGCAGAGACCCTGAGGAAGGGCCTGCACTGGACTCTGGAGTCAGAGAAGCGGGGTTAGAATCTGCGGTAGATTATGTAAATTTTCTGCCAAATGACTGGTGTCATTATAAGAAGAGGGAAAGACTCTAGGGAAGCCTGTGCACAGGGAAGAGGCCACGTGAGGGCACAGCAGAGGCAGCTGTCTGCAAGCCGAGGAGAAAGGCCTCAGGAGAAACCAACTCTGCTGACACGTTGATCTTGGACTTCCAGCCCCTAGAACTGTGAGAAAATAAAGCTCTGTTGTTTAAGCCACCTCGTCTGTGGTATTTTGTTGTGGCAGCCCTGGAAAGCTAATGTAATCCCCACAAGTTGAACTCACGTATGCTGCGTGGTCCAATCAGTGTGCGTAGAGGGGAGGTATGCCACTTCCAAGCAGGAGATGTAAGAGTCTGCAGGCGGTTGTGCTGTGGGCTCCTTCCCCCTCTGCCCTGAGGACGGCAGCATTCCTGATGGAGGCTGCTCCAGCACCTGCGTCCCCCAGTGTAGCTGGCATTGGGCAGAGCCGAAGCCAGCTGTGATGGACACATAGCATGAGTGAGAAATAAACCTGTGTTGTTGTAAACCACTGGGATTAAGGTTGCTTGCTACTGCAACGCAACCTAGCCCATCCTGTTTTAGAATCTAAGCTTCATGGCTGTGATCTTGGGTGAGTTTCTCCCTTTTCCGAGCCTCATTTTCCTTATGTATAAAAGGGGCATGTTAATGCCTACCTTGCAGGGTTCATTCTTTCACTCAGCCATAGTTCCTGAGCACCCGCCATGGGTCCGCACTGTGCCAGGCCCCCAGTACAGCCAAAGCAGCAAAGGCATGGTCCCTGCCCTCACAGACCTCACAACACACAAGGAAATGAACAAATAGATGATTACAAACTGTGACCATTCCTGTAGTAGGCAGAATAATGGGACCTTGAAGATGTCCATGTCTTAACCCCCAGAATTTGGGAATATGTTACATTACATGGCAAAGGGGAATTCAGTTGGCAGATGGAATTAAGGATTGATCAGCTGACCTGAAAATGGGGAGAT